GCATGCATTTATTGTATTGGTCTCTGTGAAAACTGGCCACACCTATTCTTCCTGAATAGCTTGACTTTCCTTTTTGAGCTGGAATTCATAGCTCAACTGGTCATCAATTATGAGTGGTAAAGGCCACACACACCACAAGTTTGCTGGCTGGCGGCCAAGGGACCCCACAATATGCAGAGCAACATTATGGTGCATGGAATTTTCATAAATTTTTTCAGTTGCCTGTTCATTTCAATCAAATTTCTTCATAGCATTGAATGAACATTATCTAGTTATTTTATTGTTCCTAATTTCCTGGGGAAGAAATTATATACCGTATTTGGTTTTAATTTTTTAGAAATTGAATTTTTTATTTTTGATGAATATTTTTAAAATTTGCATATGTCCAGTCTTGCTTCTCTTGAATTCACACACATTGGCAGACTATTGACAGTTGCTTAAGCAGGTATTTGGTGCTCTAAGGACAACAATGTTCATATTAGGAATGATTTCTGTATTCATAGGCATTTCTTTGCTGGCACCAGACGAGGAAAAAGGTATAGTTGTGGGTCATGGATATAGTTGTGGGTCATGATTTCTGTATTCATAGGCATTTCTTTCCATTAGAGCTATTAGAACTCCAATATTAGAGCTCTAAAGCATTTATATCGTCTCCCTCTCATCTTTCCTAACAACCATAGATCATAAATTATTGCACAAAAAATACAGAAAATAAAAAAAAAATTTAATTTTTAGTGGACACCTTGTTTTTTTTATTTTTTCGTAAATTTTTTTTCGTTACACCTGATTAACTACCATATATAGAGTTAATTGTAATCACATATTAGTATTCTTCTCACAATTCTTTATGATGGACCCTCTGCATGTGAGTTCCTACAAAATAAATGTGTATTCTACAATCCAAGACAGGTAGGAACCCTTTAAGTCCAACCCTTCCCACTCCCATCAGACATGAAAAAATTCCACAGGTATATTACAATAAGAGTTTATTACACTATTTTGGACTACATTGAATTCCATTATTATTATTATTATTATTATTATTATTATTATTATTTTATTTTTTTTGTGAGCAGGGAAAGTTTTGGTTTCTCCAATTGAGAGATATGCAGTTGTTCCTGATGACAACGTAAGTGTTCTTTCCACAGTCTTCATTGTCTTCATTACTGGTGTTTAAATAGTTGGTTTCTCCAAAAGATTATAATTTGCAACTGTTATCTATTTATTTGTAGGTCAAAAGGATAAATTTTGCCGAGGGGAAGATCTGATTCTAGAAGTAAGGAATTTGCAGCTTGATTTTTGAAATAGGCTCAAAATTGAGATCTTGTTGGAAATTTTTTAATTTTTGTAAGAGCATTTAAATATCCAATGTGCTGATTGGTGAATTTTAGATTTTATTTTATTATTTTATTTTTTTTTAGGATTTGGGTGAATTTTATAATTTAAATATGCTTTTATGAACATGTACAGTTTAATTGTTCTTTGTAAAATATTGAATTTGATGGTTTGATCAATTTAAATTTTTATTTTTATTTTCTGTTATGATGTTTTTGTGAATAGAATGTAAATAATCATCCAATAAAAATGTATATGGCACCGTTAGCTGTAAAGCCATGGCCCACGGTCCTCCCGCTCTCCACTTTTCTAGTCTCCTAACAAGAATAAGGTTTGAGGTTTTACTTTTTGCGACGACATTATACTGTCGCAAAAAATAGAAATTTTATTATTTAAAATAGAAAATTTATTATTTTTTAATATTTTTTGCGACGGCATTACACTGTCGCAAAAAAATAGAAAATTTCATATTTTTTATATTTTCTGCGACGGCACCATACCGTCGCAAAAAGTAGTTTTTTTTTTTTAAAAAAAGACTATTAGCGACTGTATTTTTTGCCGTCTCAAATAACATTTTTAGCGACGGTAAAATAGGGTCGTCGCAAAAAAGTCAAGAAATTTCAAACGTTATTAGCGACTGCACGGTGCCGTCGCAAAAAGGCAAAAAATGCCGTCGCAAAACATTAGCGACGGCACTTACCGTCGCAAAAACTCTTTTGCAACCCCTGCAGTTGCGACCTCCCTCTTGCCGTCGCAAAAAGTCATTTTGCCGTCGCAAAAAGTATTAGCGACGGCATTAAGAGTATTAGCGACGGTATTTTACCGTCGCAAAAAGTCAATTTTTTTGTAGTGTAATATTCATTAAATTTCAATAATGTTTGAAAATATAGGATGAAAAACATCTAATGTTCATCAGATTTCAATAAATTTTGAAATTATAGAACGAAACATTAGATCATTTACATCATTTACATCATGCTGCTGTAAAAATGGGACTAAATGGAGCGTAGCAAAAATGGTCAGCAAAAATGTAATTTCTTTGTAGTGCTTTAATAGCTCTAATTGGTGTGTGGATCCCAAGAGATGTGATGTTTTTAGGTCTTTATTTATTTATTTTTGATTTTCATCTCATTAGTGTCTTTAAGAACTTCTAAATTAAGATGGGATGTATCATTTATGTATTGTAAATAGAAAAAGATTGGAGCTTCTTAAGAAAGCTTTAGAGACGCTAATGATGTGTGGGTTCCCACAATATGTCATTTTTTTTTTCATTGCTAGGTCATTTAGAGCTCTATTTAGAACTTCAAATTAGAGTGATGAATCATTTACCGCATTATTTGTAATTATTTTTTAAAACTTACACGATTACTTGAAAATTTTCCATTAGCTATTTGAAACTTGCCGTCACGGGACAACCATGTAAAAAACAGAATTGAATCTATTCAATAGCTTCTATGTTGTATTTTCTTTAATCAGGCTTCTCAAAATCGCGTGAATATAAGCAAACAGTATGGGTGTCAATTCTTGGACTTTTTAATTGCACACACTTCTTTGTTTTTTTATTTATTCCCAACCATATCATTTTATCCATTTGGATAATGATTTACTAAACAAAAAATTAATTGTTTCGAATATAATCAGACATGATTTTTTGTTTCAATTATTTTAATATTAAAAACAAAATAATTATGTCAAAAAATAAGAAATAAAATAAAGGCTTGTGGTTGCGAATCAAAAGTCCTTTAATCCTTGTCAAAAAGAAATTATTGATATTTCTCCTATTAGGAGTCCTAGTGAGTTATTCTATTTCCTTCGTATTATGATTATTTCTGTGTTCATTGTTATGCTTCAGCGTATATTGATAATTGAACTATAATTATCTGGAATATATAGTTATATATATATATATATTTTAATTAATTTTCTTACTGGTTGGGGAAAAAGGAATAAGCAAAATGGCAGGTTCAATTAATGTAATTGTTTACTGTTTTGGTAAAAAGTTATTAACTAACGTGTAGAGAAGATTTGCATAGATAGAATTGGTTCATAAGACTGTGTTTGGATCAGGAATTTAAATAAAAAATTTAAAAAAAAATATAAAAGAAATATAATTATATTTCACCTACCTTTTTATTTTATATTGCCACAATACCAGCCAAGTTCATAAATCAAATACAACTAAAACAACTGAGTCTTAGGAAATCGATTGCTCCACTACCAAAGTGTAGGTATTGCTTTGAGGTCCGATTACTTTAGCAAAGAAGCCTAATTCAATCTACTTAGATGTCTCTTTTTATATAAATGGGCCTTAATACATTTTTCTAGTTTTGGGTCCTCTTATTATAGCACGCTTTGGAAATTCTCGACAGTTTTGAGTTGTCATTTAAATATTGGCATATTTTGAAAATTTATATTCATAATTTCAAAAATAAAAACTTCCCCTCTTTACATTACACGATAATGGCATCATTCCATACTTCCTTGGCCATTGGATAAGCCATAACTAGCGTGATCACCGTGCTATACACAGGTTGGGTTTCATCACCTTTGTCTTTTTTTTTTTTTTTTATACATATTAAAAATTATATTTTATATAATTCATATGATGGTTGGACTCTTCAAAGAATTTTTTTTCATGCTTGTTCTGATGTATTAAAATGTTATATGAGGGTAATAATCATGTGTTGGAATTTTTCAAAGAATTCATATTGTACATCACATTATTTTTATATATCTGAATTGTGCATTTTAAATGTCTTTTTTTTTATATTATATTAAAGTGTAATATTGTGATAATACATATAAGTGTTGGATGTTAGGAGAAATTTCATATGTGTTTGGACTTTTCACAGATTTTTTTTTTATGATTGTTTTTAATGTATTAAAGTGTTTATTATGAGGGAAAATAATCGTGTGTGTGGGACTTTTTAAGAAAGTTATATATGTTGGACTTTTTGAAGAATTTTTTTATACATTGAGGGTTGAGAGAAGTAATAAAGTGCTAAGGTTATTTTCTTTTACAATAAAAAATCAGAAAATTTAGATTGGGATATCGGAGCTCCCACAAGACTTGGGGGTTAGAAACCCGCATTTTTCTTAATATATATAGATAGATAGAAGATAGATAGATAGATTTAGATAGATATATCTTTTTATTTTTATTTTTTACTTTTCTGGTGTGGTTTCTATTCGGTTATTTTTTTTTTCCAAAATTTACTTTAAGATGGAGTTGTGGGTATCTTTTTTTTTAAATTTTATTTAATTTATCTTTGGTTTCATTTGTTTTTATTATTATTATTTAGCGTAAGTTATGATGTGAGTTAGATATGTAATGACATGTGAGTTTTATTTGATTAAAAAAATGCAAGTTTTAACTATATTTTTTTTGAAAATTTGTGAAAGATATTAGGAGGGGAGAGATATGAATATTTTGTTATTAAATAAATTAAATCAGTCAAATAGTTTTTTAATCTATTTATGTAAATTAAAATCAATAAATTTGGGAAAATTGATTAATTTTTTCCTATTTAAGTGATTTAAAATTTTTGATAGTATAATAAAAATAAATAACAATATCTTATATTATGAATCATAATTCAATTTAGATTTATATCTTTTGAGATTTATAGCTAATTCTTATCTTTTTTTTATTTTATATTTGTGTGTAACATAGTGTATGGGAGAAATTGAAAAGGGTGTTGCCAATTAATTATGAGAGAAGTCAAAAGGATTGTAGGTTGGGAGATGTCAATAAATGTGAGGTTGGGTTGGGAGAAGTCAATAAGTGCTTGAAGGTTTTTTTTTCTTAAATGTAGAAAATTAGAATTAGGAGATTGGAGCTCCCACAGGCCTTGGGGTTAAAAACTCTTTTGCCTTAATATATAGTTATACTACTATCACCCGTGCTATGCACGGGATAATTATAAGATATTTATATTTGTTTTATTTTTTTTAATATATATAAATTATGTTTTTTAAGATTTTTTATAAAAAAATATTTCAAATAATCTTATCCATTAACAATAGTGTACAAGAAGAAATTAAAAAAGGTCTACTGCACAATTATGCACGGCTGTATCTATAATTTATTTGTATGAGGGATTTAAATGCTAATTTAGGAATTTTGACCAAAATCAAATCAAATCAGGTTTATGGGATTGGAAAAAGTAATAATAAATGCGTTCAGGGGATTTTAATCAATAACTTATAATGCTGAGTTTTTTTTTAAATATAAAAATTAGAAAATTAAGGATTGAGAGAGATTGGACTACGCTTGGATCTTAGACCCCATTTTCCTTTAATAATTTACAATTATAATATATGTGAATTGTGTTTTTACATGTCTTTTTTTAAAATTTTTAAATGTTTTTTCTTCCTTTTTTAATATATATTAAAGCTTATATTTCTGATAATAATCATTGTTGGACCTTTTCAGGAATTAAACATGTCTTCTTTTTTTAATATATTATATTTAAAGTGTTAATTTTTTGATAATAAATTATATATGTGTTGGCTTTTCACAGAAATTTTTTTATGGTTGTTCTTAATACATTAAAGTGTTATTATAAGGGAATAATTACATATGTGTTGAGACTTTTCAAGAATTCAATGTGTTGGATTTCAAAGAATTTTTTTATGCTTGTTCTTAATGAATTAAGTGTTATTATGAGCGGAAGACTTGGGTTTGGTATAATGTAGTTTTTTTTTTTTTATAAAATTCAGATAGATTGGATTGGAGCACAGTTCAAAAAAAAAATAAAAAAAAAGAAAAAAAAAAAATAAAAAAAAAAAAAAAAAAAACAAAAAAAAACAAAAAAAAAAAAAAAAAAAAAAAAAAAAAAAAAAAAAAAAAAAAAAAAAAAAAAAAAAAAAAAATAGTTTTTTAAACCAAAAAAAAAAAAATAAAATTAAATTTAGAAAATATCCCAACAAAAAATGACTCTGGTGGTTAAAAATCTCCTTTTGCTAATATATCTATAAGTATAGAATAGATTATAGGAGTCCAATGAATGAGGAGAGGAGTTTCGTGGAAAGGACTAGAGATCAAAGTAGGGTTAATTGAGTCAAGTGGAGTTCATGGAG